TAAAACGGAGGAAAGGGTCCTGAAAGATATTGTTAATAGAAACGTTATCCCTACAGACAAAAATCAGAGGATACAACTGACGATTTACTATAAAACCAGAAAAACGGCCAGCCTACTCATGAGAAACTCTCCAGACACAAAACAGAACGCTATAAAAGAGACTAATGTCGTCTATGCCTTCAAATGCCCACTTGGGGACTGTAAGCTCCAAAAAACCCAGTATATAGGCAAGACAACAACATCTCTTTCTAGGCGTTTAACGATGCATAAGCAACAGGGCTCCATTAAGGAACATATAATCTATTCCCATAACCAAACCATCGCCAGAGAAATCCTAGTAAACAACACAGAAATCATCGATAGATACAGCGATAGCAGGCGGCTTGACGTTTGCGAGGCACTACACATCAAGAAGTCAACACCAGCAATCAACAGCCAATTATTGCACAACTATATTCTACCCACCTCAAGACTCCGCTCCAATATAGAAGCATCAAGAAATATGGACCAATAGGCTTTCTACAAACACTTCTATTCAATACCCATTGTTTCTGTTCTGTCTTGTGTTGATACTTTTAATACCCTATTAATATCCCCTCCTGTTCTGTCTTGTGTTAATGCCACATCACCCTTCCCACCTCACTCAAATGTAGATATAAAATCAGAGATACGTTCTAATCAGTTGTGTATTTGTGAAGTCTTTGAAAATGTAATAAGTTTTATGAAACGCGCCCGTGTCGCGTCAGACTAGAAATAAAAATGAATTTTGGAGAAGTGATTTTTGATTTACCTCCAACAGTGAAGCGTAATGTACGAAAGATTGAGAAAATTCGTGTTAGAATTATTAATCTTACTTTTTCGGTCATATTTAATAATATTTTCAGGAAAGACTGTCATATTTAATACATATATTCTGTTTCTTCTACTAATGGAAAGACTGCTACCAAAATATACTAATATATATATATATATATATATATATATATATATATATATATATATATATATATAAACATTCAAACATTCTAAACATTCTGTTTCTTCTAAACATTCCCTCTAATGCGTTATGCGTGGTTTCCTCCGAGGCTATGGGTCCCCCTTCTTCCAGCTAGAGGTGGTACTCCCTTCTATATAAAAAAAAAAAAAAAAAAAAAAAAAAAAAAAAATATATATATATATATATATATATATATATATATATATATATATATATATATATATATATATATATATATATATATATATATATATACTTTTTCGGTCATATTTAATAATATATGTCTCTGCTACCAAAATATACTAATATATATATATATATATATATATATATATATATATATATATATATATATATATATATATATATATATATATATATATATATATATATATATATTATATATATATATAAATAAACATTCAAACATTCTAAACATTCTAAACATTCTGTTTCTTCTAAACATTCCCTCTAATGCGTTATTCGTGGTTTCCTCCGAGGCTATGGGTCCCCCTTCTTCCAGCTAGAGGTGGTACTCCCTTCTATAAAAAAAAAAAAAAAAAAAAAAAAAATATATATATATATATATATATATATATATATATATATATATATATATATATATATATATATATATATATATATGTCGTACCTAGTAGCCAGAACGCACTTCTCAGCCTACTATACAAGGCCCGATTTGCCTAATAAGCCAAGTTTTCATGAAATAATTGTTTTTCGACTACCTAACCTACCTAACCTAACTTTTTCTGCTACCTAACCCAACCTAACCTATAAAGATAGGTTAGGTTAGGTTAGGTAGGGTTGGTTAGGTTCGGTCATATATCTACGTTAATTTTAACTCCAATAAAAAAATTTGACCTCATACATAATGAAATGGGTAGCTTTATCATTTCATAAGAAAAAAAATTGAAAAAATATATTAATTCAGGAAAACTTGGCTCATTAGGCAAATCGGGCCTTGAATAGTAGGCCAAAAAGTGAGTTCTGGCTACTAGGTACGACATATATATATATATATATTGGTGTATACTGGCAGCAGGTTTTCTTTCAAACATGTTTCATTGAATATGACCGCATATTCTGTATTTATTATTTTCTGGTTTAGGGCTTCTATCCCTCTAACTATTTTCTTAGCATCAGGGCTTAATTGAAATAGGAGTTCTCCAAAACTCATTTTCGTACTTTTAAGGTGAAGAAAAGAAGTGATTTACTATAGAGTGTATTACACTTATTTGTATAATTTGCACGACGTTTCGAACCTCCATGGTTCATTCTCAAGTGAACAGATCTTACAATACTAGTTGATTTTATACCCGCATTAGGTCAGGTGATAATACAATGAAGGTGAAAACATGGGGGGATACATAAGGGATAAACATAGGGGCTGCAGAAGGCTTATTGGCCCATACGAGGCATCTCCTATCCAAACACAAAGATTAATCAACATAACAGGCCAATTACACTGGATTAATCTTTGTGTTTGGATAGGAGATGCCTCGTGAGTAGATGCCAGCCTACTCATGAGAGTTTCTCATGAGTAGGCTGGCCGTTTTTCTGGTTTTATAGTAAATCGTCATAAAAATCGTTACTAAAAAACCAGAAAAACGGCCAGCCTACTCATGAGAAACTCTCCAGACACAAAACAGAACGCTTTAAAAGAGACTAACGTCGTCTATGCCTTCAAATGCCCACTTGGGGACTGTAAGCTCCAAAAAAACCATTATATAGGCAAGACAACAACATCTCTTTCTAGGCGTTTAACGATGCTTAAGCAACAGGGCTCCATTAAGGAACATATAATCTCTTCCCATAACCAAACCATCGCCAGAGAAATCCTAGTAAACAACACAGAAATCATCGATAGATACAGCGATAGCAGGCGGCTTGACGTTTGCGAGGCACTACACATCAAGAAGTCAACACCAGCAATCAACAGCCAATTATTGCACAACTCTATTCTACCCACCTCAAGACTCCGCTCCAATATAGAAGCATCAAGAAATATGGACCAATAGGCTTTCTACAAACACTTCTATTCAATACCCATTGTTTCTGTTCTGTCTTGTGTTGATACTTTTAATACCCTATTAATATCCCTTCTTGTTCTGTCTTGTGTTAATGCCACATCACCCCTCCCACCTCACTCAAATGTAGATATAAAATCAGAGATAGGTAAGTTCTAATCAGTTGTGTATTTGTGAAGTCTTTGAAAATGTAATAAGTTTTACGAAATGCGCCCGTGTCGCGTCAGACTAGAAATAAAAATGAATTTTGGAGAAGTGATTTTTGATTTACCTCCAACAGTGAAGCGTAATGTACGAAAGATTGAGAAAATTCGTGTTAGAATTATTAATCTTACTTTTTCGGTCATATTTAATAATATATATATATATATATATATATATATATATATATATATATATATATATATATATATATATATATATATATATATATATATATATATATATATATATATATATATATATATATATATATATATATATACTAGCTGTATCCGGCCACGCATAGGTGAGCCAAAGCATCCTTCCCTTGTCTCCTAGTCCTCCCCACCATTTCCTCCTCCCCCGTCCCCCTCGTCCTCCCAACCATTCCTCACTACCCCGTCACCTCATCCTCCTAACCATTCCCCACTCCCCCGTCCTTTCGTCCTTCCCATCCCCCGGTCTCTTTGTTCTCCCCACCATCACCCACTCCACTGTCCCTTTTTCCTCCTAACCATTCCTCACTCCACTGTCCCCTCATCCTCCCCTCTATCTCCTACTCCCCTATCCCTTTATGCTCCCTATCATTCACCTCCCCTGCCAGCCTCGTCCTCCCCACCATCCCCCACTCCCCTGTCCCCTTGTCCGCAACCCACCATTCGCCATTCCCCTTTTCCCTCGTCCCCAACTCCCTTGTCCCCTTGTCTTCCCCATCATTACCCCTTCCCATGTTCCCTTTGTCCTCCCCAACATCACTAGTTTACCGTTTACCATTTACCTATATGGTAAACAACACAGCTCAATTCCAACACAATGTCATACAAAAAATTAAATCAAAATGAAAATAAATCGAAATCTATGAAAGTTCAATATGTCAATGCAGTCGGAAACATTGAAATGGAATTGTAACATATTTAGTATAGCGTGTGTTGCTCTTATGTGCAAAAGATGGCGCTGTTTCTTAAAAAAAAAATGTTTTTACCTGTCACAGGTGTGGTATCTAAACTTATATATACGAAATGAATGGTATGATAAACAACACAGCTCAATTCCAATGCAATGTCACATAAAATATTTAAATCAAAATGAAATAAAATTAAATCTTTGAAAATTCAATTTTTCAGTGCAATCGGAAACATTGAAATGGAATTGTAACATATATAGTATAGAGTGTGTTTTTAATACGTGCAACATTTGGTGCTGTTTTTAAAAAAAAAGCATGTTTTTACCTGTTACATGTGTGTTGTCTATACAGTAGGTATATAAAAACATGTACGTATTTGAATGGAACGCTCTGTAAAAGTTTCAAAGCAATCTGTGAAGAAATTTCGGAATTTACAGCTTGTGTTGCTCTTACGTCCAACAGATGGCGCTGGTTTTCGAAAAAAGCTTGTTTTCCCCTGTCACAGGTGAGGTATGTATATAGTATGGAAGTAAAAACAAGCGCCTATTCGACTGCAACATTGTGTCAAAGTTTCAAAGCAATCGGTAAAGAGGCTTCAAAGATTTCTCTCACATGAAAAACACAATTAAAAATAATGTTTTTTCTTGTCACAAACGTGACATCTATATAGTATGTATATACAAACCCGCTCGGATGCGAATGGAATGTGGTGTGAAAATTTCAAAGCAATCAGTGAAGAACTTTCGGAGATTAGCGATTTTGAACAAACGAACATTTACATTTTTATTTATTTTGATATATATATTAAAAGTATGAGTTTTTATGTACGTTCACCTATGGATCCTTTTTACAGGTTTCTGGGAAAGATCTGGCACTGATGCCATATTCAAGTGGAACGACTGGAAAGCCCAAGGGAGTTGCTCTGTCCCACAGTGCAGTCGCTTCCAACGTGACTATGCTTGCCCATCCAAGCGTCTTCACTTCCCACAAAACAACAGGTCAGAGAGAAGCAACTTTACAGAGGAATGCTAATAGCCTAATATGCAAGATCATTTAAACTGATCATCCAATCAGTTTCTCTTTTAATTGAATAAAAGAATTTGGTAGATGATATTGTTGGAAGACCGAAGTTTTATAAGGGTTCTGGAAATAAAGGTGGTAATCAGCCAGAGTTTGCTCTTATGAAACAACTACTAAAACAAAATAAATAGAAACAAGCGCCATACAAGAGTTGGACAGATAGGACAAAGTAGTGTACAGGTGGGGGGGGGGGGTTGTAGGGAGATTGTAAACAAAGGAAGATTGCAAAATGGAGGATACACCATGAAGTGAATACGAGTAATGCACTCTCAACTGTAGCATTTATCAATGTATTAAGCAAAATATTAGATGACAGTTAATGGAGTTGAGTCATCTACTTTATCAATGTCTATTACGATGTGAATGTTTTATCACCTAGACCATCGGTATCTCTTTATTAAGTTGTTAAACTTCCTTTCCTATTGTTAAAGTGTATGTGAGAAGAGTCCCGTCGGTGCTAGGCTGAATCGTCGGTTGTGTTGACTCTGGCGGGCAATGTTGACGTCTTCAGCGCCGTAGTAGAATTGGTGGGGGTTTACTTCTCAACTCTCTTCCCTGATCAAATTCTTAACACAGAATATAAATAAGTATGTCTCAAGTGAAAGTCTGACTAATTACGAATTAAACTATTACAAATATACAGAATTAAATAAAATAATTTGTTCAACAGACTGGAAATACACTAAGAGATATACTACTACTTAAAATGAGTATACAAATAAAAACCCAAGTGCACATAACTTGGTATAATAGAGTAGATTCCGTCCCGCAATCCTCTGTTAAGGAAGAAATTATTTCAGGTATCCTGTTCCTGCACATGGATATATGTCGAGAAGCCTCACATTTACATTTATGAAGATAAAATTTAATCATGGGCAGCGAGGCACCGGTTCGTTACCCTGCACGTCATCCAAATCATTTCAAACAGTGATTATGAGATAGTCTAGCCTAAAAGAATTTAAGTTAATTCACTAATTGGAAAATTCATTTACTGGCAATACACTATAAATATTTACTTTATATCAATATAACATAACACATAAATCATGTCGATAATTATATCCACTTCCTTATTTTGTTGCAAAAACCCCACTATAGTAACCAGAGGACTCCTGGTTCAACCTTGACGGTGAGCGGACCGCTGGTCTGGAGCGGACGTCAGCGGCCCTCACTGCTCCTCTTGAGGGGCCGCTAGCTCATGTTTTGTTTCACTATTTTGAGTTTTGATATTGCAGTTTGGCGTACCTATTCAACGGTCCGGATTCTTATGACGCATGGGGCACATATCGCCTTGGGTCACAGGATAGTTTATAGATTCTGAAGGTTTTCTGGCAGGTTCTTTGGGCGTGGTGACGGTGTCTAGCGCCTGCTTGGCAGAGATGTGACGGGAGTCTGCGGGTCTTGGTGAGCTCTTGGTATGCCCTCAGCCATAGTGGGCGCCTGGCTTCTGCTCAGCCAGAGGGCACAGGATAACTTTTTCAATTTAATTGGGGGCCGAGTTTTTGCTTTTGCTACCCAGTGTTCTCTGTGTGGGGCGGAGGAGTCGGTGCTTGAGGGAGCCGATTATTGGGGAGCCCAAGGGAATCCTTGGGCTCCCCAGTAATCTGCCCATCCGTATGTTTATTTGCCGCAAGGCTCATTAGTTTCCGCCGATTGAGGACATTGTATAGAGTATGGGTGATATTATGGCTGGAAATGGTAACAAACTCATTATTTATATTAGTGCCAGTGGAAATGATGTAGGACGAGTTAGGAGTGAGGCACTGATACAGAGGTTTAAGACAGCAATAGAATTAGTTAGGAGCAAGGGAGGAATCCCAATCATATGTGGCATTCTTCCAAGAAAGAGAGTTGGAAATGAATGGTTGTCAAGGGCACGTGGTGTCAGTTTTCGGCTGGACAAATATTGTAAATCAAATGTAATATCATTCATTGATAGCTGGGAACACTTCTTTGGGAGGAATTATAAGTATGCTCGGGATGGGGTTCATTTATCTAGGACTGGGGTTGTTGCTGTTGCCAACTCGTTGGACTCTGTGAATGGAGGGGTTTGTTTGGGTTTAAACTAAGGTTTAAACCTAAACAAACTAAAGGTATGGGAATTGATATGGAGAAAGAAGGCAATAAAAGTATGTGCAATTTGCAAAAATTTGCAAAATGAATAGGGAAGGAGAAGGGCCTCAAAATAGCAATACACTTAAGGTATATTACACGAACAGTAGAAGTCTAAAAAACAAAATAAGCGATTTAAATGTTCTTGTCTGCACTGAAACAATAGATATTATTGCACTTACCGAAACGTGTATAAATATAGATAACAGAACTTTTAGCTGAATATAAAATAAACAGAATTAAACTATTTTACAAAGATATATTAGATTGGAAGGGGGGGAGTAGCCATATGCCAGGGAAAATTTGATATGTTGTTTCAAAGAGGGAATCAAAACTGAGCCACACACAAACTATTTGCATAGAATTAAACGAAAAAAATAAAAATCGTATAATACGAGTTATATACAGGCCACCAAACCTAGACAGAATGGAAACAAAGCATCTATGGGATGAAATATCTAGAGAATCTCGGTCAAACAGTTTTTTTTGTCATGGGGTGATTTTAATTTTAGTGGAATAAACTGGCTTAACAGATCAGAGAATAACGAAGCAGAAGATTATCTGGAATTAATTGTTTATTGCTTCCTTAAGCAACACATTATGGAACCATTGCGGGAAAATAATTTTTTAGACCTAGTGTTAACTACCATGGAAACACAAATTAATAACATCGAAATAGGAAGTGAGCTAGGGAACAGTGATCATAAAGAATTCAGATTTATCATGGAATGGAATAAATTTGTATGAGAGAATTCTGTTATAGTTAAATTCCATGGAGTATAAGTTCCTGTAGGATATTTTAATAGTAGGAACCGATGATGTGCTGTTGTCTGTTGCATCTGAAGTCGCATGGCGGCTCACCTTCCTTTTAATACTTTTATCGACATATCCGTTATTGATCAATAGCTGGCTTACTCAACCGAGTTCCTTGTTGACCTGCTTCCAAATATACCTATGTGTGAGGGCGTAGTTGACATAGGCATTGACAACACTACACTTGTATATATCAGGGAACTCACATTTAGCATAATGGCACATTCCTATATTGTATGGGAGGTTAGCCCCATAACGATGTTCCAATAAGGAAGTTAAATATTATTCAGTCCATACTTTAATCCATATTTGGATAATGTCAGAAAGATGTTTATAACCATTAATTAACTCACTATAACTTACTCATGAGGGACCTCTGATCTTTTCATCTCCAAGAGTGGGTACTGGAGTTAGAGGTCCACCGTACAATAGATGAGCTGGTCTTATTTATGTATGCTGTGAAACCTTATCTGTTATATAAGTTAGCGAACAGTTGTTAAATCAGAATTCAATCTCAGTGACCACTGTTTGGAATCCAGTAAGGTTAATGGTTTAACAGTGTAAAGCCTTTCTTAAATGTCGTTTGAAGACCGACTATCCTTTTGTAAAATTCTCTGTTCCACGGTGCTCGTGGTAGTATGAATTTCAATTAGCAATGACGTTGTTATAGTGCAGTACAGACTACAAATGGTTTGCAGAAACAATTGAGCTGTCATATTTGAGGTTCCTTCTAATTGGACTGCTCGGGTTGTAGCACAGGTAAATAAACAGAAATATATATATATATATATATATATATATATATATATATATATATATATATATATATATATATATATATATATATTAAATCCATTAAACTACAAGATGAATTATAACTAATAAAACAAACCATTCTATTAAACTTACGCGAAGTGATCAGAAGTGAAACTTGATACCTGAAACATAGACAATAAACACTATAACAAATATTCATATAATGACTACAAATCTACAAAAAATTTATATAAAATGCAAACAGAATAAAGGACAATTATTAAGTACTAACCAAAACCTTATAAAAACTCAAATATGAAATAAAACTTAATACCAAAAAATGTATTATGTATCCTAAATAAAAGATTGTAATAATGTACAATGTCAAGACTTGAAATAAGTAAGAAAGGGCAAAGACATGGAAAAACTAAACAAAATTATTATAAAATCAAACTACAAGAATGAACTATAAATCAAATTACAGGGCCTACTGTGCACTATACAGTGTACAATTGAACAGCTGAAAGGTTGCTATTTAACAGAGGCCGCAGCTCCTTTATATATATAAGGATTCAATTACTCTCAAATCTGACTGGCCATTCATACAAGTGTCCAGAATTTTAAAATCAGATTCCAGCAGCGAATGATCAAACTCATAACAATGGTTTCTAATCTCCGAAAATGCTGGTTTAGATAATGGTAATTCAGTCCTAAAAGATACTCCCCGGTGCTCAAGTATCCTAATCTTAAAGTTCCGAATGGAACTCCCGATATATCCAGCATTACAGCTGGAACAATTATACGTATATACGACATTTGAGCACGAGGGGGTAGGCACTTTAAAGTGCACTTTAGGGGGTAGGCACTTAAGATTAAGATTCCCGAAGGGAATCTGATATTAAATATTATATATATATATATATATATATATATATATATATATATATATATATATATATATATATATATATATATATATATATATATATATATATATATATATATATATATATATATATATATATATTTATATATATATATATATATATATATATATATATATATATATATATATATATATATATATATATATATATATATATATATATATATATATATATATATATATATATATATATATATATATATATATATATTTTCAAAGACTTCACAAATACACAACTGATTAGAACGTATCTCTGATTTTATATCTACATTTGAGTGAGGTGGGAAGGGT